CAGGGAGCCCGATGCGGGACTCGATCCCAGGACTCTGGGATCATGACCTGAGCCGAAGGCAGACGCTTAACCATCTGAGCCACCCAGGCGCCCGAGTTGTGGGATTTCTGAGGCAGCTTGCTGAGTTTCCTGAGACCCGGGGAAGGGGCTAGATTTGGGATGGGCAGGAGGGCGCAGCTTCGCTGCTGGGGCCTTTGAGCAAGACTGGGGAGCGAGCCTTCCCTGCCCGTCTCGTTTTCCTGGGGGCATAACTGCCAGGGAGGTCTGTGCCCTGTGCTGCGGGCTTGGTCAGGACCCTCACGCCATCAAGTCCTGGGAGAGACCTCTGAGGTTATCCGATTATCCGTTTGTGCCACAAGTAAAGACTGAGACCCAGGGATGGAAAGTCGAGCAAGGACCCCGGGGTCAGGGCTCCTCCTGGTCCTTGGAGGCTCACCCCAGGGTTATCTTCTTGTCCATTGAGCTGCCCCATCTTGATGTAGGCGTTCAGGAGTTTGGCTCTCCAAACCAAGAATATTCTATTAGTTCTCACGATTGTGTCTCACCTTGCAGGTTCTCCAAACCTATCCCCGAACCCGATGTCCCCAGCACACAATAATTTGGGTAAGTAGCTCCTCATCCATGGGACTGTCACCCCCTCTAGCTGCAGCCTTGGCTGGTGGCCAGTGTGGGGAGGGGGCCCTGACGGCGAGGCTCTCCCTGCACACCCCCCCACCATCAGCTGAGCTCAGCCCATCAGGTTTCTGGTTACAGTGATTTGGGGTCACCCACAGAACAGGGTAGCCTGAGAGCAGTGGTGGCAGGAAAAAGACGACCATGTGCCGGGTTTGTATTTCCCCCGGGTGGCAGTCAGACGTGAGTGAATGAAAATCCCCCAAACCCTGTGCTCAGGAGCCGAGAAGCTGTGGTCTGCCAAGCATACGTGTGTGTGGTTTGATGCAAAGCCAGGGGCAGCAGTGAAGACTCCAGCCCCCTGACTTCTCTTGACTGGTTTCAAGAGACACTTTGGATTTTATCTGAGTATTTCATCTTATAACTATGTACTTTTTAATTTTATTTATTTTTTAAAGCTTAGTTTTTAAAAGATTTTGTTTATTTGTCAGACAGAACAAGAGAGAAAGAGAGAGAGGGAACACAAGCAGGGGGATTGGAAGAGGAAGAAGCAGGCTCCTCGCCGAGCAGGGAGCCCGATGCGGGGCTCAATCCCAGGACCCTGGGATCATGACCTGAGCCGAGGGCAGATCCTTAACTGGCTTAGCCACCCAGGCATCCCATGTACCTTTTCTTTGACACAGCAAGATACAAGGAAATCGGGGAAAAGCACAATTGCCCATCGTCCCCCACCCTCCCATGCTGGTTTTGTTTTGTTACGGTCCTTCTGATGCTTGTGGATCAGGCCTGTGTATTTGTGCCTGGCCAATGGCCATCACAGCGTCCACCCATTTTTTTTTTCGTTCTTTTTGCTATTTTGTAAATGCATTTCCATGTTTAGATGCCTCCTCTATCATCTTGCTTTGTCTCGTGATGTGTTGGAACAATTGGACCATCATTTCTGTGGCTTCTGGGCTCCAGGAGCGCCCCTCAGCTCCGGCGTGGGGCCTGCTGAAGGGCTCAGGACAAATGAAACATCCACTCTGTTTTTATTGAGGGGATTTTTTTTTTTTTTTTTTTTTAATGTGTTGGTCTGGTGGTTTTGGGAAAATGTGAGTTTGATTCCCATTTGTGCCTTGACTGCTGGGGGTTTGATTTGTGGTTCAGGAAGAGAAAGAGTTAATATCCAAGTTCGGTGAATCAGGGGATGGGGGTTGGTCAGGCTTTTATTCCAGTTGCTTCTAGTCCTTGACTGATAGCATCAGATGAAGAAAAGCATTTAGAACATCGGGAGATGCCTGAAACCCCTTTCATACAGGCTGACAAGTGGGCAGTGTGAAATGTGCCTTTGGGTGAATCTCTTCTAACATCTTTGTAAAATAATATCACTCTGAGTGTTGGGCTTTGCAGAGGGAAGGTCACATTCCTGATGTGAAAGGACCGATTGAGTTATTAAAAACAAACTCTGAAGGCTAGAAGCTGTGTTAACACTTGAGAAATGAAAGGCCAGGACTGTGAACTCGTCTCTGGGTTTCCAGCTTTCAAGGTTAGCTGGTTTGAATTTCAGCTGGGGGCCGTTTTACTCCCCCTGCCCCTTGGCCAAGGCAGCCCGGTAAGTGCACAGACTCCAGGGCAGGCCCCTGCATTGGAAGCCATGCTGCCTGACTCCGTGGTTCAGAATGAAAGTTGTCCCAGGTGGCAGCTTGCTGGGAGTTCCCTTCTAGATTGTGTGGACCAGGACAGCAGGATGGTTTTTGAACTTGGACCCGGGGCAGGGGTGTCCCATTGACTCAGTTCTCCCTCCCTGCTGCCCCGTTCCTCAGGCCCCTTGTCTGAGGGCTGAGAATGTTTAGGTCATTTCTCCAAAGGAAGGAATAGCTCCTGAGCCTGGGGGGCGGAGAGTGGGTGCCAGTCTGTGGGAACACCTGAGTGGGGGGAACGAGTCAGCCGATGAGTCAGGGGCGGGACTAGCGGTGAGACATCAGTGCTTTCTCTCTGCTTGCGGGGCCCCGGCACCCCCCCACCTTCACCCCTTCAACACTATTGGCTTCATCCCTACCCAGAAAAGTCTCACAGACTCCTGGCATCCTCGCTGGAAGGGGATGGACGATGGTGATGAGCATGGTAAACATTTCTTGACAACTTAGTGCTGTTTGGAGCGCTTCATGCGTGTTAGCCCAGGGTTCATAACCGCCGCATAAGATGGTGGTGGTATGATTTTTCACTCTCCTGATTAGGAAGCCAAGGAGCGGGCTGGTCACCTCACTCATGCCAAGTAGCGCCGTTAGTAAATGGAGAAGCTTCGAACTCGGCCTTCGGGTTCCAGAGCATGTGCTTCTGTCTGTAGCAGGACACTGTCTTACTGCATCACGTAGACCAGCATCCCTGTCACCACCACCCCCTCAGAACAAAGCTCTAGAAGGGCACTTACTGTCATTGAGGGTGGTTCTCGGGTTGAGGAGCCTGGTGGGAGCCCTGCCTGCCAGCTTGTCTCTTCCTTCCTCGTTGATGCCCCAGGTCCTTCCTGCCAGTCCAGGTGGGGGGGGGGGTCAAGGAGGAATCACAGACCCTGCCATCAAGATGCTATGGCCTTGTGGGGAATCAATAAGGCAGGAGTAAATGTAATTGCAAAACACGAAGTAGGTGCAGTTGAAGTAGCCGGAGGGTCCAGAGGGGGCAATGGTGGCATCCCAGGGGGGGACCGGCCTCCAGGCTGGTTTCCCTATGGAATTCAGTCAGCCAGCCCGCTCTGCTGTGTTCCTAGTACGTACTGATGCCGGGGGTTCACTTGGGCATTCATGGTCTGTTGGGAGTGGCGGAGGGATCTGTGTCCCCGCCGTGAGGCATTATGCCAGGTGTCAAGGGGGAATTGTAGAGGCCAAGGAGGAAAGTGCCAGATCAGGCAGGAAGACCTCAGAGTCATGGTGACAGGTGTGAGCTGGCCCCGGAAGGACAGGTGGGACACTGGGAGGCAGAGAAGGAGGGAAGGACGTCGCAGGTAGAGGGAAGGGCATGAAAGGGGAGGGTGAGCTCAGAGGACAGCCGCTATTGTGGTTGGTTGGGATGAGGGGGCAGATGAAGCTGACAAGGCTGTGGGGCACTGAGCCAAGAGCCCTGAATGCCATACTCCGTGATTCCCTTCTTGCCTGTGAATCAGGTCACCGGAGGAAGGGTGTTTGGTTGGTTATCTGATGACAGCTTCATAAAGATTAACCTGGCCCCTATATAGAAGTTGAAGTCTAGGAGAAATGGCTGGTGGCCAAACCCCAGCCCCCCCAAATTTCAAAAGAAAAACCCACCCTTAGAAAGCCGTTAAACTGAAGGAGACCAAGATGAATGCTTTGGAGCGATGGTGGCGGGGCTGGGAGGGGCATTGAGAGAGGGCCGCAGGCCTGAATCAGCAGGCGCTTACTGACCAGCGTTAACCGGGAAGATGGTGAGGTGGGACATCCAGAAGCTGGGATGGCTTGGGTGGGAAGGTGGCAATGAGTTGCCGATGCCTAACCGTGTCCAGGAGGCAGCCGGGCCATCAGGAGGGACACCGGGGCCGGCCGTGCCGAACTGGAAGCCCTTAGCCTTTGGGCAGGCTTTCCCCAAGTGGGGTCAGGGAGACAGGGTTTTGTCATCACCTGAGCTTGGAAAGCCTGTGCCGTAGCCCCCCTGGGCGCCCAGGGCACTCACGTGGTAAGGCCTCTGAGCAGTCCTGCAGAAGGGAGGCCCACGGGATTGAGCCTTTTGCCCACGGATCTGAGCGCTGCTGAAAGAAACACTTTGCTCTTATAACCTGTCGACCGCCTGTAGGATCACACCCTGGAAATGCGGAGGTCCTGGGCGTGGATGAATTGGGAGAGGGAAACCCAGCTGGAGAAGGGAGAAGGAAAGAAGTCCAGGGAGGGACTGATGGGGCAACCCTGGGAAGGAGGAGGTTGGGGAAGAGACCAAGATGATGACAGAGAAGGATGGGGACATCTCAGGACATCAGATCATTTCCTGCAAAGAAATTATGCGGGAAGAGAGAAAACAGAGGACCTCTGGCTGGCTCCTCATTTCCTTCCCCCTCCAGGCAAGGGACTGGGGCTCCTGCCACTTCTGGCGACACGGGGCGGGGCCCAGATGAGTGACTGCCCACCAGCTCAGCCCCTTGTCAGCGGGGGAGACCCGGCGGCAGCTCTGTCTTTCTTTCGGGGAAGGGGTGTGAGCAGGTGCCGTGCCTGCTAGATGAGTCACCTGGGCTTTCCTAAGCAGTGAAGTCAAGGATTGGGCCAAATGGAGGGGAAGGAGGAGGCAAGTGGAAAGAGGAAAAGGGTGAGGAGCTGGCCCTGTCGGTGAGTAAATTGTTCTTGCTTTGGGGAGGGGCCTTGACCGCGGGAGAAGAGGTACCAGGGAGTGCTTGCAGTTGGATGAGGTGCTTCCGCTCCTGCCAGGACGGGGTGGGGGTGGGGGCGCAGCGGGAAGACACTGCTTCTCCCCTGAAAGAGGCAGGCTCCAGGGTGCAGCCCCGCCTAGTCGCAGGGGTGTTCGTGTTGCTGCACAAAGCTCTTGCCACGACCTCCTCGGGCTCTGCTCTCTGTGAGCTTCAGAAAGTACAGGCCTCCCGACGCCAGCAAGGCAGTCGCCTGCCCAAGGGTCTCCCTGAGACTGTGCGTCTGGTCTCGGCTGCAGCAAGCTGGCCCCGGGCTGAAAGAGCGCTGGCTGCTTTCCCTGCACACCTTGTTTTGTCATCGTCCTCAGTGAGATAGGTTGGAGCTGGGGCCCCGGGTGCAGCGACCCCGCAGGAACTAACCCTCGGGGACAGCAGGGCCTCAGACGCACAGAGCCATGGGGGACTCTTTCACAGCCACGTGAGCTGGGGCGGGGCGGTGGGGCAGCCCAGGCAGCGGGGACCATGGGGGTCCCCGGGGACTGGAGTGTGGCATCTCCGGGACGGGAGGTCACGCTGCCTGTCACAGGTGAGGTGGGCCCAGGCGAAGGCAATTCATTCACGTCCTGACCTTCAGCCTTTGCAGCTTCAGTGTTTTGCCCGCTCCCCGCTTTTGATTCGTAGTAGAAAGTTAATTTCCCCCTTCTGTCCCCCCTCCTTTTCCTTTACCGGATTTGGATCTCTTGCACATGTTTTTAATAGGCATCCCTTAATCCAAGTGTTGCCTTCTGGGTTTTATTCTGTTTTCTTTTCCTTAAACAAAACAGAAAGTCTATGCCAGCTTGGAATAGGGCTCGAAACCCAAGCCAGCCAGCACCGTTAGGCTGGCAGGGGGCCAGCCGTGAATTAAGTGCCCCACGCCACTCGAGAAGCCTGGCCGATACCACACTGGTGGGGGCAGGGGGCGGAGGGCAGCGCGAGCTGGAGGTTCCTGCGTCTCCAACACCTCTCCTCCGGGAAGGGCGATTAGCACAGACTCAGCAGTCTGGCCGGGAGCAGGGCCGTGTGCAGGGGGCGGCCTTGGGCACGTGCCATTATGGTCTAGCCCGCCGGGTGTGCCGAGTCTTTGGCCTGGAGAAGCAAAATCTCTGTCAGGGAGTCAAGTGCCCTTGGCCTTGTAGAGTCGTCCTCCCAGAGGAGCCTCGGAGTGGCATGTCCTCAGGTCCTTTGCAAGAAACAACCTTATGCAAAATGGCCTCTGCGTTTGTTGGAAGACTCTTGGAATTCAGGCTGGCTGGCCTGACGGATGTGGGAGGAGCGGTTGCCACCTGATTTCTTAAAAGATTTCTTTTGAGACTTAGGGCCAGGATAAGATTTGTTCCCCTGCAGAACTTGTAAGCATTATCTGTCCACAACCAGAGCCATATAGCATATGATGCTCCCTTTTTCCTTGTCTGCTAGGAAGCTCAGAGCCAAGCTGAGTGCTCTGTCAGTAGCTATAGCCCATGGTTGTCCTGTTTATAATGTTCTCCTTTCCAGAGTCCTGACTTTTTGTTTTTCTTGTACTTAACCACGGTGTGGATAAGTCTTTGGGGTGGGGAAAAAAAATGAGGACATACATGCTGTTTAAAAACTAGGCTGCCATTCAAGGCAGACCCCAGAGGTAGTGACCATACATTTTGGTCTGCAGCGCCCCCCTTGCAGAAGTTCCTTGAGGAAGCAGCTGAGAGGTGCCAGGAGGCACAGAGGTGAAAGGCAGGGCTAGGTTTTAGTTGTTTGTGGAGACTTGTGAATACGTGGCTGGGGGCATTGCCCCGGGTCAGTCCTGCTTCTGAACACAGGCCAGCTCATCCGTACCCTTCAGACTTTGCCTTGGCCTGACTGCACTGCTCTCCCCCCAACTCCCCAAACTAGCATCTCCTTAATTATGTGTCAGGCTCCCAAGTCCAGCGTTTACCACCACACTGTCCAGTGTGTATCTGTAAGCTGCAGGGATGTTTGGATAAGGGCTCAGATCTGCTTGGGGGGCCTCTTGGGCTAGGACCCCAAGCCTGTCTCTGATTCTGAGATGCCTCAAAGCCCACATTTCCCTTGAGTGGTTCTGGCACCGTGTTACCCGATGGGTGGCCTTTGCCTTTTCTTCTTTTGATGGGTAGGCTGTGCCAGGGTTCCTGGGAGCCAAGCTCTATCTCTTCTGTCTGGACTAAGCCCAGGGGGTGCTGGAAGGCTTTGTAATTTGGGGTGAGGACTCTGTACTTTACCGGGGAAGCCAGGGCCAGCGCAGATCAGCCCCAGCTGCTTCTCCAGGGTGACCCACGCCAGATGCACAGTGACCTAGATGGTCTGCACTAGATGTCTTCCAGTAAAGCTGCAGTCACTGTCCAGGCCAGGAAAGCTCACACAGCAAGGCCAGCAGAGCCTGCCCCTGGGCACTGGTGGTCAGCAGCCCCTGCTCAGGACCTCTTGCCTCAGACACGTTGCCCGACCCCTTTGAGTGCTTGGATTATACTTGGATTTCTTGGGCTTTTTTTTAAGGTCTCCAAAGCAACATAGCTCACATTTTAGTGACCACATTGTTTAGAATATAGCTTATCTCATTGGAATGTCGAAGCATCGAGTGACGCCAGAGCCGGATGTGGCCCATGTGGCTCAACCCAACCTCTGGGACACAGGCCACAAGCCCTGGTCGCCCCTGCCCCATCACTCCTCCCTCCCCCATTAAAAGTAGCTTCGATCCCCTGCCTTCCCTCATCTTCCCCTCCCTCGCCCCTGGGAAGAGAGGAAAGGGGCAAGGACGCTTTGCCTCCCCTGCAGCAGAGGCCGGGACGGGAGCAGGACATACTCAGGTTCACGTACGTCATCAGTTCTAATCGGCAGCACCACGTAGCGAGTGCTTGAGGCGTGCCCCGCACTTCGTGGTTCCTCCCGGTCCATCTGCAGACAGCGGCGGAGGTAAAGAGGGCTCCCCGCGCCGTGGCTGCCGGGAGCCATGTGCAGGCTGAAGCTCCCAGCTGCCCTGGTTTGCTCACGGTCGCGCAGCTGGTCCGTGCCCCAGCGCCGAGTGCCTTCCGGGCCGCCTGGCGTTGAAGCTTGCGTTCCATGACCTGGCTGACCCTCGAAGGCAGTGGTTTTCACCCAGGTGCTATTCTGCCCCCTCAAAGACAGCCGGCACTGTCTGGGGCCATGTGTCCCTGTCCCGGCTTGGGCGGGAGTGACAGATGTGTGCCACTGGCATTCAGTGGGTAGATACCGACCAGGGCTGCTACTAGGCATCCTGTAACGGACCAGGCCCCCCTCCCTCACCCCGGGCAGAGGATCATTTGACCCAAGATGTCAGTGATGCTGGGGCCAGGAGGCTGCTGTAGGTGTCCTAGCCCTCCAGCTGACACTTCCTGGGCCTGTGCCGAGTGCGGGGAAGTTACCGGTCTGCATCTCCTCACACACGCCGTAGGCGTTCTCCTTCCCCTGAGAAGGGATCGTAGGCACACAGACCCCACAAGCCCGTCCGGCCCTTGGCCCTGCAGGCCCCTCCCAGAACAGCTTTGGATTTTTTTTTTTTTTTTTTTCCCCTCTGTGCTTCACACACTTCCAAAGGTCTGGTGAGCAGAGTCCCCAGTGGGTTCTCGCTCTAGGCAGTGAGCAGGGGTCTCTGGCCAGGGCTGAGAGCTGGCCCGGTGAACCCTTCTTGTCCCTTGAACCAGCTCCTGCAGACGCACCCTAATTCCCCGGGCAGCTCCAAATATATTTAAGAGTGGAGGTCCGAGGCGGAGGAGTGACAAGGGGCAGGGGACTCCCTGGTTTTCCACCAAGGGGGTGGATTCAAGTAGGCAGCGAGAGGGATCAGTACAGTACTCCAGCACATGTGGGGCCGTGCAGGGCAGGGAGGTGGCTGGACGAGGCCGGACTAGAGTGCTGGGGGTCCTGTTAGGATGCCGCGGCACTGATGCCCAGGAGGAAGGACGGGGGGCCTGGCCCCGGGCCAAGCACAGACCCACTGAGGTGTCAGAGATGATGCACGGAGGAGGGCCGGGGGCCTGGACGGGTGTGGACCAGAGTGGCCGGAGGCGACAGGAGGGCGAGGGAGTCCCAGGAAAGGTGATGGGGGATCGCGTGAGGGGAAACCTCTATTTCAGGGGTTCCCAACTCTTGAGAGAGAGAGAACCAATGTCTCCCAAGACGGTAGTTTTGCTTTGAGGAGCCCTTGGTTGAGACCACAAGACAAATTGAGAATTTCTTTTCGGTGACTTTGTATCTTAGCCACCCAGACAGACAGCATGTGGAGACATTTGGAAGATAGTTTCTCTAATTAAGAGCCGTGGACCTGGTTCCATTCTGTGGACCGAGACTGTGTGGTTGGAGGCCCAGCACCCTGTGCAGGCCCCCAGGCTGCACTAGCCTTGTCATTTTACAGGCTCGGTCGCTGCCGCTCCACAGGCTAGGAGTGCCCGAGACCAGGCAGTGCCGAAAGCTAAAAGCCCTTCTGGAGGCCGAGATCACTATGGGTTACTCCGGGAGGTGGCCGCGTGGGTGGCGTGGCGCCCCCGGGGAACCTGCCGGGCCTGTCCAGCGGGCTTGCCCAGGTGCTAGGTGGTGCCTGGCCTTCCTTGAAGACCACTTCAACCTAAGGCCAGCCAGACAGGACAGGGCATCTGTGAGCTAAGACTAAATGAAAGCGGCCAGGCTGGTGGAAGGCTTTTCCAAACACTAGAGCACTCTATCACATTGGATCCTGCAAGTTTAATGCCGAGGCACGAGCTTTGGGGATCATAGCCCTCAGAGAGGTCCAGAAACAGCCTTACAGAGCATCCAGGGGAGCTCGCTGAGTAGCAGGTGACCCGGGGGCCCCTGACCCAGTAGCCTGGCCTGTCTCCCCAGACCTGCAGCCTGTCACCTACTGCGAGCCGGCCTTCTGGTGCTCCATCTCCTACTATGAGCTGAACCAGCGCGTTGGGGAGACATTCCATGCCTCACAGCCCTCCATGACAGTGGATGGCTTCACCGACCCCTCCAACTCAGAGCGCTTCTGCCTGGGGCTGCTCTCCAACGTCAACAGGAACGCAGCCGTGGAGCTCACGCGGAGGCACATTGGTAAGGGCGCCCCGTCTCCCCATCCCCCCCCCCCCCCCCCCCCCGCCGGCCAGCGGCCCCAGCAGCCTCTGCCCAGAACCCACCTGCCCCTGCTGTGCCACGCCTCCCGCTGGGACCTAGGGAGAGGACCCACCCCCCAGCCAGCCCCCCAAACTCTGTATTGCCCCATTTAGGGGCCAGACCAGAAGAGTTCACATTGCTTGGTCATTCCCATTCGGAAACACAGATTAAGTCTGAAGAGGGGAAAGCCATGGAGGAAAACACTCAACTTGAGGGGACAAGAATGGCAAATCTATGAAAAGGGCAACATATGTATCTTAATAAACTTACCCCTAAAGTACTGACTGATAGTGGGATAGGTAGGCGGTGTCCATCTTTAAGGAATGATCTTTTATTTGTTAATTCCATATACAATTATTCTAGGCTGCTAGAACAGCCCCGATGCTAATATTCTGCCTTCTAACATCCAGAACGTAGTAGGAGACCACTTGGTTTATGGAAGAAGGAGCTGTGTGTGTGTCACTTGGATATTCATAATTTTGAGATCCTAAGTCCATTGGAAGGCCATCTCCACACTTGGAGACGGTGTAATAGGGTACTGTCAGCCCAGAACCCCCGGGGGTTGGCTCCAGGGCAAACTCCGGAGCTGGGCAGGGCAGCAGGGGGTCTGGTCCTAAGTGAACCAGAGCACCCTTGATCTTGTTCTTACTATATCTTGGATTTTCATGGACGATTTCATTTGAGGAGAGGATTTTATAGTTAAGAGAAGAAAAGTTTGGAAGCCATGGGTCTGGGCCTGGGTGCTTTTTCTCCAGGGAATAACCTGATACCCAGGGGACAGCAGAGCCTTGCAGAGTCCACACCGTGAGTGTGACCTAGTTGGTGACAAACAGCCCCTGCCACTGAGCCCGCAGCCTTCCCAGACAGCCTCCCCATTTGTTTTACTTTAAAAAAGATACTGATCCTGGGTGGCATCCATAGGTGTTTACCTATTCTTCTGCTCCTCTACATTTTAAAAATAGTTCCCAAATTATCAAAACAAAACTCATTTTTGTTCTTTCGGTTGGGGTCTTCCCACCTCTGCCTCTGCTCTTGACAGACATAACCCAGTGGCCCCTTCTTGTGGACCCCGAGTCTGCCTGTACCCCACGTGTCTGTGACACCGAGTCTTGTAGCACCGCCCCCCTCAAGAAGAAAGGGGCGCTGGGGCCATGGCAGGACAAGGAAGCAGCAGAATTCCCAGCGGCCCCCTGGTGTCTACCCCACTGGACGCCGTGCCTATAGAATCTGGCTCCGTCCTCCAGCCCTCTGAGCCTCTTCCCCAGAAGGCAACAGAGGCCTTCCCGTGCAGGAGGAGAAAACCTCCCCTGACCGAGAGCAGACCTCATTGTCAGAGTTTTTATGTAACTGCCTGCTCGGACTGCAGAGCCCATTTAAAACTAATTTGTCCATCTGGAATGGATTTTTAAGAGATGGAGGAAAAGTGAATGACATAAACCTATGGAATGTTTTAGAAAAATGCACGGAGAGAAGGTACAGGGGTGGCATGAAGCCAGTGAGTGTCTGTGGCAGTAGCCGTGGTGGCCGCTCACGCTTAGCGGGCGCTCGCTGTGTGGGGCTCAACCACCCTGTGAGGCACGTGTTATCATCGCGCCATCTTCCAGGCGAAAAAACTGAGGCTCAGGGGCTGAGTAACTTGATGCTGGCCGACGGCTCGTCCGCGGCGGAGGCTGTTTCAGAGACTTACCCCATGCCCCTTCCCCTAGTCATCTGCCACCTCCGGCGTTAGGGACCCAGTGCCGCCCCCGCGTCCCCTGTGTGGGTTTAAGCTTGGGCTCTGGGTCCTGTCGGCCTGGTGAGACGCAGAGAGGCGGTCCGTCGGAGCACCGGCTGCGGCTGTCTCCCTCGCGAGCCTCCGCTGGTCCCCCCCGGGCCAGTCTGACCCACATCTCCCTAGGGCGAGGCGTGCGGCTGTACTACATCGGAGGGGAGGTCTTCGCGGAGTGCCTCAGCGACAGCGCCATCTTTGTCCAGTCTCCCAACTGTAACCAGCGCTACGGCTGGCACCCGGCCACTGTCTGCAAGATCCCACCAGGTACGCGCTCCTACCCACCGCGGCGCGCCTGGGCTGCTGGGCGGGGTCTCCTTCCGTTTCTGCTCCTCCGTGGTGGCACTGGCTGCCCGGAGGTGCCTCGCTGGGGACTTTTCTGCGTCTTACTGTCCTGCTGCGCTGTCCCTGACCCTCCGGGGGGCAGACGCAGCCTCCGGCGGATCTGCCTCTGATCCGTGGGTCCCTGCTTGTTGCCTTGTGTGCACAGGTGCTCAGGCACTGTGCTTTCCCCCTTCGTTCCACAAACTCGCACGGCCTGCGGGCGCCGCGCCGGGTTTTTGAGGGAGACGGAGGGGTCCGGGAGCCCCTGCTGCTGTCCGCACAGGCCTTGCAGGCCAGCCGAGTGTACGAGACAAAGACACGAATGGGTTTAATACAAGGAAGGGTACTAAGTACCAAGCAAGCAGCACAGATAAGGTGCTCGCGGAGCCGGGGAGAAAAACTCATTTAACCATTGGGATGGATCAGGGAAGGCTTCATGGCGGAGGCATGCAGGCATTGCAGGCTGGTTGGCATTCGGCACAGGGTGACGGGGGGAGGGGGCGGGGGGGAGGTGGGTGGGACCTTGAAGGGCATTCCGAGCGGAGGGAACAATATGGGCCAAAGCCCGGAGGTGACGGAGGGTAGGGCACATACGGGTGGCACTGTGGCTGGAGAGGCCGTGTAAGAGACAGGAAATGTTTAGAAAGCATGATGGGGCCAGGCCACGGAAGGCCGTGAGAAAGTTGTGCTTTTATTCTGGGGAGCTCTTGCGGGCTTTCCGAGTGGAGCTGATGAATCCCACCTGTGCTCCAAGAAAGGGTGTCAGGCTGCACCCTAGAGGGTGGCATGGAGAGGGCCACGGCCACGCAGCAACACGGGCAGAGACGGGCCCCATCCGGGCCTCTGGACTTAGAAAGCCAAGGCCGAGAGCCCCGGCCGAGCCCGCCTGTCACCGGCACGCAGCGCCCGGCCGTGCTGCTGGCCGAGTGCGGGCTGGGACCGGCGGGTAATGTGTGCGGCACGCGTTTCCTCGTCTCAGTAGCAGATGCCGAGCCATGGGCTCTGGGCAGGGCCAGCCCGAGCGCGTAGAAGGTCTGAAAGAACAGCGCTCTCGGTTTCCTGCACATTGTGTGGTCGTGTTTACAGAGGACATCGATGGTTTTGCTCTCAGCCCTCTCCAGTTATCCCGGCTCCTCAGGCGAGGAGACCAGTTCAGAGAGGTTGAGCCACCTGCCCCAAGGCACACAGCTGGGGAGTGGCTGAGCCGGGATGAGCCACAGGCCGTGTGGCCGCCGAGTCTCCTGCTCCTGTGCTTCTTGCTGCCTCCGGGGTCACCACACTTCCCCTTGGAGAAGACGAGAACCCGAAGCTCGGGTGTGTTCCTGGCGTTGTGACCTCTCCCGTCCCCAGCCCTTCCCCCACCTTTTTGGTGAGGGGGCCGTGCTGGGGTTTGTTAGCTCACAGACCATCAGAGCTGGGAGGACCTCGGAGGCCGGGCTTCCGAGGAGAAGGTGACGGGCCCAGAGTCACACAGCAAGATTAGGAGTCCAGTGTTGGCCCGTTAATAAACGTCACCTTAGCTCACCTTCTGGGTATTCCCAGCATGAGCTGTAGTCTTTCTTTTTCTGACTGACACATTCCTGGCACCCGGGCGGTAGGACTTCAGGAAGATTTATTATAAACTTTATTTGGGCCTGTCTCTGGTTTTTACTGCCTGGAGAGTTAGACACACATCCTCACTTTGCTGCGAATGTCACCCTGACCCAGCCCTGTGCCCAGAGGCCAAAATGTGGCCCCAGTCTCGTGCTCCTTCCTGGTCCCAGGTGGCTTCACCAGGGAAGCCTGGGTGGAAGGTACCCCGGGACCCTCTGCCGAGCCTCCTGTTGGAGTGGCAGGCTTTGCTTCCCCTCCGTCTGCTGCCAAGGGCTCCTGCTCCCCAGGTGGTCAGCCGTGCCCCCCACAGCCGTGGGCATCCTGGCTTGGGCACCTTATCACTCTGGTCCCTGGAGTCCTGCCTTGGCCCTCTTGCCCAGGGCAAGGCCCACCTCTCCACACCATCTCTCTCGTCGTTGGTAGCCTACCTTATAGTCTTCCTCTGCGCTCCCTGGCTCCAGGAGCTGGAGCTTACAGGCCGGTGTTTAATCCACCCCTGTGTGTCAGCCACACCTCTCCATTGAGGTGAGGACGGCTTAGGGCAGGGCCCGAGGGGGCCTGTCCCTAGCGTGGTACTGAGTGTCGAGTGTGGGGCTAGCGCACGGAATAACTGTGTGCCACTTGAGCCGGGTGAGGTATGCCATTCTGGATGACCCAGGGGTGGCTTCAGCCAGGAGTGGGGCACTGGACACGTATGCCTCTGTCCCCACGAGTGCTGTTTTTGTTCTCTTGGCAGGGTGCAACCTGAAGATCTTCAACAACCAGGAGTTTGCCGCCCTCCTGGCTCAGTCCGTCAACCAGGGCTTCGAGGCGGTCTACCAGTTGACGCGGATGTGTACCATCCGCATGAGCTTCGTCAAAGGCTGGGGAGCAGAATACAGGTCAGGTCTGGGTGCCACATATCATGGGGACCCGAGTGCACATGACTCAAACAGCAGAGCAGGGGCCCCTCAGAGATGAGCTAGGCCACCCTCGCCCCAAAGAGCAGAGGCCAAGGATCAGTGGCCGTGGCCTGGCAGGCTGGGAGGGCCCGAGCCACACTGGACAAGGAAGAGCCAGGCACTTCGGTTTCTCAAGCACCATAAACACACATGTTCTAGTTCTCCCTCACCACCACCCTGGGCGGGGACGCTGGCATCACCCCCGGTGCATGGATGAGGGGACCGAGGCCCAGGGAGGGAAAGTGACTTGCCTGAAGTCACATCGTTAGCGGAAAAGCTGAGCCTAGAACTGTGCCTCTTGGCTGCTTCCTCGGTGTTCATTTTGGGCAGATGGTTTTAGGACAACCCTCTCCAGGGAGTTAAGTCTTCATCCTGTTGTTCTTCCCTCCTCTGGGGCTCCGCCTTTGACTCGGGTGACCCTGAGGATCTCGGGTATTAAAATTGAGAGGCGGATGGGAGAAGATTTGGGTAGTCATAAAGGAACAGTTTACTTGCTAAGAGTTTTTTCAGAATTTCAGATACTGGTTTAAACATGGCACTGGTCGGGTCTACCTGGTCTGTGCTGTCGAATCTCTCAAAACATTCTGGTTTGGGTTTAGCGAATCCGGTCCCTTTTCTTTCCACACCTAGACAGGATGTGTGCAAGGGCCAGGGCCGTGTCCCCCTCCTGCCCCCGGCTCCCGCGCCAGACGCAGAGGTGCCCACATGTCAGCTGGGGCCAGCGCCTTGCAAGTGACTCCCCGCTTCTCTTCATTTTTCCAGATGTTTGGAATCCATTTTGTTTTGTAGTCATTCTGCACCCAGGCCAAACCCATTTCAATATTGGCTCTGGGCCACCGTTTGTAATGAAATCCAGATGAGCATGACTTATGGAAAGTCAGATTCTCATTAGAGGATTTCGGCCCGTAAAGTCCTCTTCTATTTACGGTATTTTTAGCTGCTGTGCCCTGTGTCTGCCCACAGGGCCAGGGAACACAGCACCTTGGTCTGGGGGGGGGGGGGTCTCTCTGAAATCCAGGATGAGTGACCAACTGAGAACTTGCAGCCCAGTTATGACGGCCTGAGGTGATGAGCCCAGGCCCGAAGGCCCAGCCCGAGAGAGGTTTTAGCCCACCTTTTGGCCCTGGCTGAAATCAGTTATGGGACCAGAGTAAAATGTTTTAAAATTAGTATTTTTCTTTTAGTGGGGAAGGGAAATACTTAGATGGACCCCAATGGAAAAGAGCCAGAGAGAGGTCCTTTTGCTCTTCCTACACCCAGACTTTAGTCCAGAGGACTGCACTCAGGCACCACAGGTCAGAGGGGCACCCCGGGGTCCACGAGGCCATCTAGAAACCTCCACCTGGGCCCAGCATAGGCCAAGCAAGGCAGGAGGTGGCCTTGAGCAAGCAGCCCTCAAGCTGGCGCAGCACCGTGGCCCTCCAGCTCCGCGTGCTGGGAAGAGGCCCCCGGTGGCGGAAGCCTTTCCCTGGGGGCCCTGTGTCACCACGCGGGACATGCTGCCAACACGCCGGGTCCTGGGCGGCCCACCAGGTCCCTGCCACCTGGCAGCCCCGCAGAGCAGCCTAACGGGCGGTGCGGCCCCTTCCCAGAACAGTCTTGCCCTCCTTCTGCCTCTTGGGCCAGAGAGAGTGAGGTTTCATCCCTCCCGTGAGATGGCCAGAAGCGGCGAGGGCCCCGGGCACAGGCCTCCCGCCTCCAGCTGGTACCAGCGCCCCGGCCTCAGCAGATAGCCTTTGCTCACTGCAGGCCGTTGGGAGCTCGCCTGCGGGCTGCGTCATCAGCCAGCCTGAATTTAGACAAAGTGCTTTGGGGAAAAGAAACGTGTGGTGTGCCTTGGTTTTTTCCAGTAATTGTTCCATGGCTTGCTCTGCTCGTAAGATTTTCCAAAATAAGGCCATAGATGGGAATTATATCAGTACATTGGGAACTGATGGCATGTGGACTCTGTCGGCGCTTTGCAAACAACACCCTCCATCAGACAGACACACGTCATCATGGCCTGCCGGGACTGGACCTGGGGCTGGAGATGGGGCTGCCCATTCATGACAGATGGGACCCTGGGAGACCTTTGCTCAGGCTGGAAGTTCTTCACTGGGGCGGGGGGGGGGGCCTGTCCCAGAAACGGGTGGGCAAGTGGGATACCCTGGAATTTGCCTCACATGTTTAGCCCTTGAAGGGCTATCTCCTTCCCCATGAGGAGGTCCTGACTTACTTACTCAAGGCTCTTCCTAGTTGGAGGAGGTCGGCCTGGCAGTCTCAGCAAGTTATTGGGACCTCCTCTAGAGCTGGGTCTAGCAAGGCGCCATGGACCCTATCTCTGGCTCTGGGAAGAAGACTCTCACCAAAGCAGGAAAAGGTGTTCTGACTTGTAGGTGTGTCCTTCTGGACATTTTTTGAAGTCTCCCACCCCACCCCGCTCCCTATGTCTTGCAGGAGACAGACCGTGACCAGCACCCCCTGCTGGATCGAGCTGCACCTGAATGGGCCTTTGCAGTGGCTTGACAAGGTCCTCACCCAGATGGGCTCCCCAAGCATCCGCTGTTCCAGTGTGTCTTAGAGACGTTGGGTGTGAAGGGGGAGGGTGGGGGGAGGGCGGGCTTGGGGGGAAAAGGCCGCGTAGGAGGTGGAGAAAATTGGAACTCAACTCACCATTGTCAATGAAGAAGAAATTTTTCTCCCTCCAATCAAAGCGGCCCCAACCTGTTTTCCAAAACGCAAAAGCAAATCCAGAGATGGATTTTCTGAACAGCTGTGTCTGCCGAACCCATTTGCCCTTTGGCCCCAACTGCCCCCTCCTCCCAGCCCCCTTCTCTTTTAATGACAGCAATCTGGGATGTCACTGTCCAACAGGAAATGGCCATCGGTTCCGGACTCGGGTGTGAAACTCACCTGGGGTGTTCTAGGTAGGGTAGAGCCTGCAGGGGCGGGAGGGGCGGGAGGGGCGGGAGCGGACCTCGTGCCTAGCCCTCTGGCGCTTGTAACAAACTCTTCAGTGGGGCATTCCTGAGCCCCAGCGCTCCAGCAGACCCTGCACCCCAGGAGCCGGATTGACTTGGGGTGGGGAGGGGGGCTCGCCTGTCCCTCTCCTCTTGGAGCGTACTGAGAAGGGTGAGCCAGTGTGTTCAGAACATGCACACGGGGCCAGGGGGGGAAGCTGGTGGGACACCTCGTCTCGTAAACTTGTCCTTTCTCACTTTGAACGGTTGGGAGATCCGCTGAGGCTCAGCGCGTAGGCAGTGTATAGTTTCTCTTCTCGCATTAATCTCAGAGATTTACGTGTAGTCACGGGAAGCAGGAGGCAGCCGTGGCGTCAACGGCGCCTGAGCTGAGGCTGCCCTCCACTGTGTGGGTCTCCAGTCCTCTGTAAGAGCGCACTTGCTATTCTCATGCATCCGGCTCTCTTGGTTTACATAGTTGCATTAATTGAATGAGCTTTATTGTATGCTCATTTGAATGTTTATATTAAAACAAAAATCCCGGGTTGGCACATTGACTGGGAAACCAGCGTGGGGGGCCCAGCAACCTCTCCCTCAAGGTGAAGCTCTTCCAGGTTTTGTTGAGAAGACACCTGCCAGCACTTCTGGAAACTGAAATTAACAGAAGCAAATTCACCAGAAGGGAAAAATCTCAGGCCAACACAGGCAAATGAAAAGGGCTGTTAAATTTTTTTTTTTTTTTTTTTTTACACCTTTGAAAATTGGAGGCTTGGTGCGCAGAGGTCGGCCATCTTTCCCCTGGGACGTAAGATTATCTAGCTCATGGCAGCGGATCCTCAGTGACAACTCCAGCAGTTATGTTGTAGGAGAAGTACTGTTCCCAGTGGCAATTAGTGAGGAAACTGTTATAAATTATTTTAACTGGAAAAAAAGCCCTCCTTTTCGACTGGCCTTTTGCCGAATACAGCAGACAACATTGCCACTTGCAATTGGTACTTTATTCCTCGTTGCTGTTTTTGTATGAAATGACTTTATCCCATCTTTTTTGCATGGATTTCTACCAGGAAAAGGGATTTCCCATGGAAGTCCTGTCTTATTCCCGGTGAAGGGGAGAAAATGTCTACTGGCAGGTCTGAATCTCAAATGTGATGACATTTCTGATACCTTATGGAGACGCTGGGGGCTTCCCGGTGTCTCCCCGGCAGGATCCTAATGCCTCTGCAGCTCTAGCTTTATGGTTTCGAGGTAGGAGAGCTGCTCTCCAGGCTCCCCGAGGACACAGGAAGAGATGGGAGGAGCACCGTGCCAGACCTGTGCTGGTCTCTTCGTGGGGCCGTGGACGCAGAACCCAGAGACCCCACACGGCCACTCTCCCCGAGAGGGTCAGCTTCTGCAGGTCCGGAGTTGGCCTGCTGTGAAACGCTCTGCGCCCTGCTGCTTCCAGCAAGCCGTCTGAACCTCCTGGATGTGCACACACGCTCCTGGTCAGGGCTGAGACTCGTGGGGGGAGTGTTCCATTGTGGCCTCCCCCAAAAGCCAGGACAGCGGTTTCTGAGGGCCTGCGTTCTCCACCTGCCTTCTCTCCTCTGAGGCCTTCCTCTGGCACCCAGCTGTCCTCCCGTTTCTTGGGGACTAGCTTCAGGTACAGCCCAGTTTGGGCCATCCGGTGGCTGCACCCGGATGGTGTCTCGGTCTCCTTGATGCTCAGGGCTGAGGGCTCCTTTTAGGAGGCAGGAAGTTCCAGTTTTGTGTTTCTCCAAAAGCTTACTTGGCCCCTCTTCTTGATAGACTAGACTCCTGGAGGAGGATGTGAGAGGAAAATGTAGGTAAGTCCACCTCTGGAAGAGATTCAGTCAGACCCAGAGGTGAGGACGTGGTGCCCTTCCCATCAGAAAGGCTGCAGCTGTGTTCTTGGGGCAGGGGCGGGGGGGGCTTGTGTCATATTAGCATCCTTCAAATCACAAAGCTGGTTTTCTTGGTTTGAAAATCCTGTTGTAGGAATGGCATTTACACGTTAAAAAGAACTTTTTAAAGGACAGTTGAAGGAGCAAGAGAAAATAGGGCAGCCTAGCTGGGTGGAGGGCAGTTTTAAGTGTCATTGGCAGGGTTCCCTGCCCAGTCGCTTTCACCCTGGGGCTGGTGCTGCCCCTGACCCCAAGGAGCTAGCCTTGCGCCTGAGATCCTTGGCTGTGCCCCACCCCCAGGAGCCAACTTCTCTTCCCGTTCCTCCCCCCGCCCCAACTTTATTTAGTAACTAAGGTTCTTCCAGCACAAAGTGGGTAACTGCCCCAGCGGCTTCGGGTTACGGCCTGTGCTGGAACATCATCTCAGTTGGCCACCTTCCTGGCGGGCTGTAGACGATCTGACATTTTGAGACAAGCCGAGAGTCAGGAGCGGGGACTTACTTTGACTCTTATGAAGCACACGCACACACGTGCGCGCGTGCAAGGGCAAGGCTGCTGGCAGACTTTCCCATCGTCCTTTTGTCTGTGTTGTATTTTTTTTTTTTTATTGACCGTGGTGATTATTTTTTTTAAATCAATGTGTTGGAATGAGCTGTAGCACATATCTTGTGCTTAGTTTTTTTCCCCCCCATCTTCCCTTGGCCTCCTAGAGTTTGGACCTATTCCAGGGCTAAGGGCTTTTACTCAAACCGCAGGAAAAGGCTGTAGCGTGCACATGTCACGCATGCATGTATGTAGTCTGGGGAGAAGGCAGATAGGGTTTCTGCCTGGGCCCTGAGCTCACCTGAGGCCCCTCTCTGTCATCCTTAAAAGGATGAGGGAGGAAAAGCAATCTGGGGACTGTTCCCAGACGGTTTCCAAGGGGGTTACCCGTAGCAAGAGCGGGCCTGAGTTTAGTTCTGGACTCTGTGTGACTTTAAGTGGCAGAGTTGGCCCCAAGATCTACATGTGTCCCCACTTTACTAGAAGAAAACCGCAACACAGCTGTGTTGTGCCATTTTTTGTGACATGAATGTTCCCTCCTAGGTCGTCCTTTTGAGGAGTATCAACTACTTCCCAAGAGGGTGGGAAAGCAAAACACACACACACAGGCTGGGGCTCCGATGGCAGGGGGGCAGGCAGTGGGGAAATGACGTGCAGGCAACTTTCCAGAAACACAGCTAGCCCATCAACTCGCCGATCGTGTAAACTGGATTGAGAAACGCTCTCAGTGATTCTGTAATTGATTTTTTTTTTTTTATGCTGATGTACACTCTAGCATTCTGGTGTTTTTATATTTATGTAATAATTTCTTAAAACCAAAACAGAGAACTATTTAATTTTTTTGAAAAAGTTGGAAAGGTCGCTCCTCCCCAGGACCGTGGCTGGGAAGTCAGTCAGGGGCCCAGTGGCTCAGCATCCAGAAGCAGCCCCCACCCCACGCCCCCGGCCCCCGGGGCTGGCTAAGCATGTGGCAGCATGTACAAACAGGCAGCTCAGCATCACCTGCAGGCTCTCCCCTGGGGATGGAGCCCGAGCCCCCCCTCCCTCTCCTCCTCCACTCACCTCCCTGCTGCTGTTGCGACGAGGCTGTTCCGAACTCTGGTGGTGTGTATTGGGGTGGGGGGAACCGAGTGTGGAGGATGCTGATGGCCTTCACTTCTCAGCCAGCCTGACCTTTGAATACCTTTGTAAAAAGCATGTATGTATTTATAGTGTTTTAGATTTTTCTAACTTTTGTATCTTAAGAGCAGAGCACCTGTAAGCATTGTGCCCCTATTGTCAAGGATCTGTGTCCTCTCTCCTTCCCCTGTAAGTGCCCTTCTAATAAACTTTTCATTGAAAAGCTCCTGTGCCAGGAGCTCAGTCCCTTCTTGCTGGGCGGGGAGAAGATGTTAAAGGGAGCCCCGAGGGGTTCCAGGGGCTTCAGCAATGTCTCCAGCACCCCCATTCTGCCCCAGCCTCTTTCACTTACCAGGGTACTCTGCAGGGCCAGCCCGCCCTCAGGCAGTACCGGGCACCGCCCCCACCTCCCACGTCCGAGCACCGCACCAGTCCTATCCCTGCCGCGCCCGTGTGGGCGTCGGGCATCCGATCGCTTGTCAGAGGCCTTCAAGTACAGGGAAATGAGTGCCGCCACATTCATCCTCCCAGAGGCATGGAGGTAGTTTTAGATTTCTACAGAAGGGGGTTTTCACACTTTGTCAGTGCCTGTGAAAACTCCCAAGGAGAAAAACTATCTGGTGGAATCTTCACTGACCCCAGATAATGTGGATTAAGAAACAAGGTTAAAATGAATAAACAATTTTTTTTGAGGGGGGCGAGGAGGATGGCATGGGGCTAGAGTAATCCTTTAACTGGGCCGTTTCTCTAGCATTTTGCTGCGAAGGAACTCCCCAAACACCTCCCCTAGCAGTTGGGAGGCCGATTTCACAGGGGCGGCTCCTCTGGGCCTAAAGATTGGGCCCCCACAGCCTGCATCAAATGCCTACCTTCAGAGTTAGTAGTGCTACCGTCCCGTCCCAGTCTTGCCCAAGGATTTAGCCAGTCGATTTCTCAGCAAATGACCCAAATCCCCATCTCTAACCCAACCTGTTCCTTCAGACCCACAATTTTAAATTCCAGCTGCCTAGTAAATGGGATCCAAACCACAACAGCCCCAACCCGAGTTCTCTTCCACATCGCTCAAGCTGGCACTCTCGGGGGACTCCCCATTTTTATCAGTAGCTTGCCCCCCGTCCCTCTCCCCCATCCTCCCAAGTCCTGAGCGGTTCTATGCATCTCTCTCCCGTGCTCGCCATCCCGTTGACCCAGCCCCCCTTTGGGGAAGGCCCCACTCCCCGACTGCCCTGGCCCTCCCACGCGATCTCTCTCTTGGGCCTGCACCTCCTCCTTCCGGGTCGGTGTT